CTTTTTTTTTTTATTTTTATTTTTTTTATTTCTTTTTTATTTGTTGCAAAATTTCAACTTGGTACACAGGTTTGTCGCGAAGACTTGAGAGATACATCATCATCATCGTCGGCGTCGTCATCGTCGTCATCGTCGTTGTCGTCGTCGTCGTCGTCATCATCACCACCACCATCACCATCATCACCATCATCATCATCATCATCATCATCATCATCATCATCATCATCATCATCATCATCATCATCATCATCATCCTCATCATCATCATCATCATCATCATCATCCTCATCATCATCATCATCATCGTCATTATCATCCTCATCATCATCATCATCATCATCATCATCACATCTCGCGTCTTTTCTTCTCTAACATATATATGTATGATGTGTGTATATATATATATACGTGTGTGTGTACGTGTGTGTATATACATATATGTATATGTATGTGTGTATATATATATATATATACACACACATGAAAACTAAAATTATTATAAGTAGACATTACTCTTCCATTTAATAGCATTCTCTCACATTATTTGTTTCTATTTTTCTTTCTTTCATTTCTTTTTTCTTCTCTCGTACATAAAAAGGAGAGAAAAAAAAATTATAGGTATACATAAAACACGCTTGTGCATTTTTTGAATGCTATTGAATATTTTCAATTCTCATTGTTTGTTTATTTGTTATATAGATGTGTGTGTGTGTGTACGCATGTGTATCTCTATCTGTTGTTCTTTTTCTTCCATATTATTAATATTAATAATTAATAATGATAATAATAATTATAATAATTATAATTATAATAATTATAATAATAATAATAATAATAATAATAATAATAATTAATTAATTAATAATAATAATAATAATAATAATAATAATAATAATAATAATAATAATAATAATAATAATAATAATAGTAATAATAATAGTAACGTTTCATTTTTGTCATTAGATTGAAAACTCTACTTACACATCTGTTCTCTGTATCGTTTGTTGTTTTTTGTTTCTCTTTTCTTTTCATTATTTTTCTTTTTCTTTTCTTTTGAATTTTTTTTTTTCTTTTCCATTTCTTTTCTTATATAGCAAAAAAGGATCATCATTTCTATTCGCCCAACATTATTACGTATACCTCCTCTCGTCATATACGGAGATTATATGTATATGTATACAAAGAAAACCTTGTAAACGATATTTATTTTGTATCGGGTGACCGAGAGAAAAAAAATGAAAAAGAAAAAAAAAAGGAAGAAAGAAAAGGAAAAAAATTAGAAAAAAACAAAAAAACTACTGTGTCCTCGTGTTTTCTTTCTGATTGTTTTCTTTCTTTTCTTTTTTTTTTTTTTTTCGTTTTTTTTTCTTTTCTTTCCTTTTCTTTAATACATAATTCTAATTGTCGGAGAAAAATTAGAATTATATCGCTAAATCTTTCATTAGAGAAATATTGTACATATACATTATAAATGTATTTTATTATATACTGCTAGTATTAAATCTCAGGCAATCGGTATTTAAAAAACAAAAACAAAAAAAAAAAAAAAAAAAAAAGAAAAAAAATAAGGAGAAAAAAAGAGGAAAAAAAAAAAGAAAAAATTAAGAAATCATTAAATCTTCTTTCCTCGGCTACTTTTGTTTTCGTTTTTGTTTCTTCTTTTTTCTTCTGTTTCTTCTTCTTTCGAGAGAGAGTATATATATATTTTCTTTGGAAATAAAAACTAAAAAAATGACGCAATCGAATCCAAATACAGTACGGCGATATAATGCATGACATCTAATTATTTCATTATTATTATGGTACATTTATTTTATGCAATTTAAATATTAGTTTGTTACTGGGCCAATTAATAACGTATACCAATAAAAGAGAAAAGAGATGTGTATGATTGGATTTTTTTTTTTTATATAATCGTTTTTTAATTCATACCCAAAAAGGAAATACAGAAAGATAAGGAGACAGAAAAAAAAAGAAAAAAAAGGATTTATAATAACAATAATGATCATAATAATAATAATAATAATATTGGTAATAATAATAATAATAATAATAATAATAATAATAATAATAATAATAATAATAATAATATTGATAATAATAATAATAATAATGATAATCAAGAAGAGTTTATCTAATGTTAAATAATTATCGTTTAAACATTAATCTAAATTCAGGCTCTAATATCATACAAATTAATTATCAACTAAGAATAGGATAATTCTTCTCTTCTTCTTCTTCATCTTCTTTTTCTTCTTTTTCTTCATCCTCCTTTTCTTTTTCATTCATTCATTCAATTATTTATTTATTTATTTATTTATTCATTTATTTAATTAATTATTTATTTATTTCACTTATTTATTTATTTACTTTATTCATTCATTCATTCATTCAATCAATTAATTATTTATATTTATTTATATAATTTCCAAATATTTAAATTTTGTTAATATTTTAATTTATAATAATACCTGAACGAAGCTTTCGATTTTTCGAGCCAAACAAAATAAAAAAGAAAAGAAAAATAAAGAGAGGAAGGGGTAAGTAAATGGGCAAGAACAAAGAATGAGGTCGGGAAAAAAAAAAGAAAAAAGAATTGGAAAAAAAAGAAATAAAGCAAGAAAAAAAAAAATAAAAAAGGAAATCTCGATCAATGAAAAAGACGACATTCATCATTCTTTCAAAATATTTAAACGTCATTCGCGTTACTTCATTTTGTACTCTACATCAATGACACAGTCGATGCATTAAATAACGAACGATAATATGGTACGAACAAATTATTAATAAAGGATCTTCATATAAAAAAAAAAAAAAGATCAATGATCTAACTCCATCTAAAATTGATTTGACCAAAGCCTGCATACAACACAATAATCTTCCGCCAGATAGTTCAAATTGATTTTATTATCGTTTGTATATGTATATGCATATATATACATATATATATATATATATATATATATATAT